AACTGCACTGCTAATGCATCACCTGTTGTTAGGTGGGGCAGTGCAGTGTATCTTACACCTCTTGTCAGGACTACTGCTGCTCTGGGTCTGCGGCTGCTCACATCATATAGAAGTGTGCCCCCCAGGGAATCCCAGGCCTCGTACCATAGACTTAACTTTCCAAGGTTCCTGGATCAAAGATATGCCTGTATGCATCCTACTAAGGCAGGTACACAACAATGTACTTGCATCTTTACAATGATGCAAATTGCTCTGTATAAATTCCATCATTTCTAAAACTACAGAGATTAGGACCCTTTTCTCCATCAGAGGACACCAACATCATGTCGGTGTCCTCATCACCTGGAGACCCCGGCACTTGTGAGGCTCCGACTACTCCCCACTGGGGTGCAGTCAAGGGGCTACACTTGCACTGGGAACTCCCTGTAGACACAGCAGTGGCAGAAGCCATCGGCGTCACTGAGCCCCAGGGCACTAAACCCTCCGCTTGCCCAGGACCCAACAAATAAGCATCAGGTCCTGGGGCCAGAGTAAAGGTTGTTCCAGTCACTATATTACTGGCACATCCAGCCTGGTTCCCCACCTGACAGGACAGAGGCACGGTCATAGGACCACCTGCAGCATCCGTGCCCAATGTGCCGCAGGCTGGGTCCCCACAGATTTTAGAACCCCCTTCCACCGGGTACTGGGGACCGGTMCCTTGTCCACTCAATTTAAAATTCTTGTCAACTTGCCATCCACCAGGAGTAGACGACTGACGAGTGTTGACGGTACCCGGGTTTTACATCACAGTTTTCCTTCTCCTTGGTGGGTTGCCTATCAAGGCTATCGAGCCCCACCTGCCCGGCTGCTTTTGGTTTGCAGTACCTTAATAGTCTTTCAGCTTATTTGGGCACACCCCTATACACCAGGAACAGGGATCCCCAATCCACCGCTTGCGCCTCTATGCAGTGATACCTTAGCGCCAGGCAAGAGTTAAGTTAGGATTTTATCTTTTGTTTTCTTTTTTCTTTTTTGTAGGTAGATGGTTCTTTTGTTTTCTTTTTCTTTTTTGTAAGTAGATGGTTAAAAAAGACAATTATCTTTGACAATACTTTGAATTAAATAAAACTTTAGCAACACATTACATTCAGTTTTTAGTTCTTTGTAGAAGTGTGGAGTAGGGGAGATGAACAAAATAATGTTTTAGTGATACTGAGACTAGACAAGTAGATCTCGACAAACAAGTAGATCTTGTTTCAAAAATGGTTGGGCACCCATGCCTTAGGGGATGTTCATTGAGCACCCAGTACCACACAGATAAGATAGTGTCAGGRTGTATACAGAATATAAAAGATACAGAACAAAGAAATGGTTTCAGACAATCCGGGGCATTTTTGCTGATACTTTCAGGTGAGGTTTTCTCTCACAACTTTTTGGTGATTGTCTCACACAACGCTACAGGAGTCAGAGGAACATGGCAGGCTTCCATTACATATGAATTTGGCCAACATCAATTTCCTATTAAAACCAGGCAAAGACCCAGTACTACCTTAAAGTTATCATCCCATTTAAATAATCAAATATCTTCTAGCCTTTGTCTACAGAGGGGCACCTGGCAGGGATGCCCACAGTCCCCCTCACTGTTTGCTATTTTTATCAAACCTCTACTAGCTGCAATCAGGCAAACTGCAGATATTAAAGGCATACAATGTAAGAACATAGAACATAAAAGCAGTCTTTATGCTGATGATGTTTTACTTTTCCTTAAGCACTCGGAAAACTCAATATCTAAGGTTATTGAATTAATAAACTCTTTTTCAAAAGTTTCTGACTACTCTACAATTGGTTGAAATCTACAGTTATTCCAATTAACTGTGTTTTTGGGTATTAATATATCTTCTATATTGTAAGATTTAATAAAATTAAATCACATTCCTCTTTTAAAGAAAATTGAAGATCTTACTAGGTGGAGATCTCTACCCACATCACTCATGGGAAAAGTTGCCTCTGTTAAAATGATGGTTTTACGGAGAATAAATTATATATTCTCAATGATTCCAAATAAACCTTCACCTGACTGGTTTAAATCCCTGGACTCCTTTATTTCTAAATTCCTATTGAAAAACAAAACTCCTCATATTAGCCTAAAATCATTACAGAAAATTAAAGATACCGGAGGGCTAGAGCTTCCAAATTTTTATCACTACTTTCAAGCCAATAGGCTGCAATAAATTTTAAAGTGAATAAATCCTAAAGAACTAGATGAAACTTGGCTGGACATAGAACAAATTTTATTCCATAATATTAGGATTTCAGATCTTCCATTTATAAGCGCAAACATAAAACGACATGTTTGCTTTAAAAGCATTAATATCAGCTCATCTCTGGCAGCATGGTGGGAGTTTCTGAAAATAACAAAGTCTTCACTACTCCCATGAAGACAAACACCCATCTGGAAATATCCTGACATCCTGCAATAAAACAATAAGTTAAATTTTGCAGGTTGGAAAGGTAAAGGAATTGAACATCTGGAACATGTATTTGAAGGTGTAGACCAGGGGTGTCAAACTCCAGTCCTCGAGGGCCGCTATCCTGCATGTTTTAGAGGTTTTCCAGCTC